CCCACCCAGCACTTCACCTATACAGGCTACTTCTAGGCAATGTATCCTGTCTCCTTCCTGGAATTTGGGCCCCTAGTCCCATTCTCCAGGCTCCTTTGCCCCAATCCTTGGGCTTCTGTGTCCTGCCTCTGCTCCTCTCCAGACTATGGGTCCCTGTCCATGATCTCTGGGCCCTTTTGCTCTGATCCCTAGCCTACTTTGTCCTGCCTCTGCTCCTCTTAGGTTACAGGCCCCTGGCCCTGATTTTCAGGCTCCTTTGATCCAAATCCTGGGCTTCTTTGCCCTGTTCCCAGGCTCTGGCCCTGCGCCCAGGCCTCTGACCCTACTCTCGGGCCAGTTGGGACTTATAGCCTATCCCCTTGCCTATCAGGTGACTCCCCTGATTTCTACCTGAGCCCTCACTGCAATATCATTACTTTTATGTAACCTCAGCAAATGTGACCTCAGCAAATGTGTCTAACCATATTCCCCCTGCTACTAACATATAGATTCACTGTCTTTGATGACATTTGCCATGTTGGTAAAACAAGGAAAGAAACAAAAACCCACACTTATGCTTTATGTAAATTGCCATAGTAGGTAACTTCTTTATTTTGATAGGTTTACCTTACTGGCTTCACCTGCACTTTCCCAGTTCAAGTTTTCCCCTAATTAAAACCCTTGCAGTATTATCCCTACAAGGCAGACTACCTTCAAATAGTACTCTATTTTCTTGTCTCACTATTGTTTATATATCCTCATATTTTCTTAACTCACAGGTTTATCTTCCTTTTTCTGAACTTTTCTGTTTTGATTCTCTTAAGTTTTAGTAGCAAACAGAAGATGGCATATAGATCTTGGCCATAGATCCCAAAAATCTTCATGTAGGTCTGCTGCATCCATGCTAATATACAGTCATCTATGGATCTTCTTGGACCATAGATATGAATTAAATTAAAAGCTAGCTAATTTAATTACCTCTTAATAGAGCAAACATATTTTTATTGTCCCTGTAATTTATATAGTATTTTTACTGTTTTATATGGTACTATTTTATATAATATGTCTTATTAATGATTTGGTTTCACTGAATCCATGTACACGAATAAGAACATTACACATGGGGAGTATTTGCATGAGCTAAAACTAGCTTGCTTATTCTCACTCCAGCTTACAAAAGTGGTTTTGTGGGCGGTTGTTTTCTTGCGGGGCGGGGAGGGAGGGGTTGTTTGAGGTGTCTAGTCCACACCTACTCTATTTAAAAACTGTTTTTCTTTCCTCATTTAAAACGAATTACTACCCTAAAGAAATAGGAGTTTAAAGACTCATACTGTTAACAAAAACTCTATGAGACATCCAGGAAATAAATTATAAAACTGGCATGTCACTCAACTCAATGTATATTGTGTTATTCGTTAATCATAAGACCTCACCCCAGCCTTTTTCAGAAGACTGTAGTCAGCTTGGTGTATGCTACCGTGTGAATCCAGGTAAGAAACTTTTTCCCTTGATACTGTATTTTAGTAAGGTTGCTATTGGAAGGATTTGTTGCTCAGCCCACATTTTTCTGAAAGCTTTTTAATGAGTGTTAAGTGCTGTAAATTAGATTGAATATTTTTTATTCAGTAGCATCAATTCTTAACCAATTATATAATTTGTTATATATTAAACTGTGAATTATGAACTTTCTTAGTTCTTTTAAAGAAAGTTTTCTAGAAAGGTACCCTTGCCTCTGCAGTGGCTCCAGGTATACACTTAAAAGGTTTATGCTTGTGTAAAAACAAGTTAAATAAAAAAAAAAAACTGGACTAAGCAAATTTGGCATGATAAAGAACAGGATAATGCAACAGTAATCTCCATAATGGTAAACTTTGCCTTTCTTTTCAATTTTTCCCTCAAGGTTTTGTAGGTTAAGATAAGAGTAAAACAATTAGTAGAACAAAAGAACAAATGTAGAACAATAGTAGAACAGTAGACCAATGACTTTTGAATTCTGAATTTATCATTTATCATTTTTATGAAGAAACACTCAAATGTGCATTGCTGGATGGCTTGGCTACCTTATTTATATACTTGAGTGAAAAGGTGGTACACAATTTAGTTTGTTTTTTATGCAAACCTTTTACTTGTGTTGCTTGGGAATGTTCATATGAATAGTTTTCTGAAACATCTATGAGCAATATGAATAATCTCTGAAAATTTTTAAAAATATGACCAAGTAAATTTTGATTTGATCTGGCTTCATACATGAGATTATAAATTACAAAAGGGTTACAAGAAACAACAACAAAAAAGTTAAAATAAACAAAACCACCACTTGAAATTCAATTTTGGCAGAAATTACTAAAATAAACTTCAACCTTTCCAAGTATTATAAGATTAAGATAAAGCTTCTAAATGAAAAATGAGCAAATTCTGTTAAATTGTTGATAATACATTTTTATCAAGTTTTCTTTCCATGTCATCTTCATTCATACTGTAATTTTTTCCTCCACATCTTATCATAAAACAGTACTTTCCTGAGTTAGTACTTTGTTAGGGAAGTTCTTGGGAGGCAAGTTCTTGGCAATTTATAATATCAAGATTCTAATGGTACCCTTTATTCTAGGTATTGTTATTACTATATCTTAAATTAATATATTTTCAATGTTCTTTCTTTAGCAGCTTTATTGTATGTAATGCCATGCTTAGATTTATAGTCCTTAAAAGTGTTTGTGCAAATTTTCAAAATGCTGAAGCAAAGTTCTTCCTTCCCCTTTCCTAAAGGAAACTAGCATATAAAAGAAACACATGATAATATGATACTGCTTACATTTTATATGAATATATATATATATATATATA